AGAAAAACAAAAATATATATAGCTTTGGCCTATGACTCGTTGGCGACGAATTAAGGAGAGAATGCATCGCATCTCACAGCCATATATCTGCCACTTACGCCTGTACCCCGGCAACAACACCCAGGAGTTCTGTCTGACTAGACGTTGATAGTTTGGAATCAAAGTGCTTGTTAACTCTCAAATACCATTTGATTTACACTATTATTTTCATTATTTGCTATTTTTCCTGTAAATGTAAAAATAAAAAATTGTTCTTTATACCTACTTGAGATTATCTGCAAGCTGCTGAGCACTACAAGTTGACCACGTGAAATCATTTCCAACCGTACCAGTTTGACTGACAGACATAATATGCATCGAATCGTAGCATCCCCCACTTGCTTCGCCATCGTGGACTATACCTAGGCTGCAATCAATGACATGCATGATATAAACTTTACACTGTATATTTAACAACAGCATTACATTGGGTTCTGCGCCACACCCTACTGTTTTTCGGATGTGCTACCTTATTTGAAATACTAATTATACTACAATTATAATATGAAGCGGTTTTGTCTCCGCCGTAGCCTAGGCCTATTCCAAGAAAAAAAAAAGAAACTCTTCTGATATTTTATTCTTATTATACTTATAAAAGCAAAAACAAAAACAAAAACAAAAAATTAAAAAAAAAAACAATAAAACAAAACAAAACACGCACAAGTCTGCATATTGTATTTTTAAGTTTTTCTTAATAATAAAGATACTACTTTCTCCCTCGTACTTTGCAATTGAGCAAGTTTCAAATAATTAAATATTTTGTATTCTCAGGATAATAGTGTGAACTCCGTACGTCGTAGCACTGTTGTTTTACTCCTACATTATATAGCGTCCCTCCTAACTTCGGAAATATTTTCCTTTATCATGATCAAAGTCCGACAATAATACAACCCGGACAGTCTCTGTGCTTGTTTCCAGACCGCCAGTTTAACGAGATTATCCTCAGTGTTTTTAATTTTATTTTTATTTTTATTATTATTATTTTTTTTTCTTTTCCCCTGTAGATTTGAACATAAAGGTACACATGCATACAGTTAGTCTTCTGTGTTTTTAATAGGATTTTGTAATTGAATACATTATTAAATGTTATATTTACTTGTGCCCTAATTCATGTGCCTCTTCACTAGTTGCTTGAAGACCATCAGCCCTGGCAACGCTAAGTGACGATCTTCCTCCGCACATTCCACCCAGTGGAGCATATCCAGACTGCTGGCAGCCTGTCATATCAGCAAAACATAGCTTGCGTCTGAGAAAAATATGGATTTATATACCATATATTAATTCCATATATATAAGTACTATATATACTGTATATATAATTTATATATA